TTACTGGTGTCCACACACATGTGCATACTCATACATGTGCACATGCCAGCCTGAGAGGCATGGTTAGCAACCCTCTTGACACAGAATCAGCCCAGCTCTTGCAATGCAGGGGTTGAGGCCTAACCAGAGCAAGAGCTTCTTATGGGCAAGCAAAGGGACCCGGGCAGTGAAAGGTCCTGCAAAAAACAAACTCGGGAGAAAACCACAAGCAGTTCTTTTGGAGGAATGGGCTACAGAAAGAAAGTTCCAAAGGCCACAGCAGGGGCAGGGCAAGAGGCATGAAGTGCCAGTGAAGATGGATTCCTAGGAGGGAGCATGGTCCAGGCTGTAGCAGCCAGATTCTCTGTGATCCTGAGGCAACAGCAAATCTTCTCACTTCCAAATTCCATCCTTTTGGGATTAGAGTCCCTGACTTCCTGCCACTCAGACAATATTCCAGCTGCATGCTGGCATTCCTGCAGACCTTTACCCATGCTGTTCCAGCTGTCCAGAGCACCCTCTGCAGCCAGCACTACCATCTGCACAGGCTCACATTTGCCAGACAGTCCGAGGGCACCTCCTCTAGGAACTTTCTGCACTTCTGGCCTGGCACACCTGTCTCCCTGTCCCCACCCCCCTCTATCTGCTCACCCTGCTCACCCCCCTCTACCTGCTCACCCTCCTCAACCCCTCTACCTGCTCACCCTCCTCTACCTGCTCACCCTGCTCACCCCCCCTACGTGCTTACCCTGCTCACCCTGCTCACCCCCCTCTACCTGCTCACCCTGCTCACCCCCCTCTACCTGCTCACCCCCTCTACCTGCTCACCCTGCTCACCCCCCTCTACCTGCTCACCCCCTCTACCTGCTCACCCTGCTCACCCCCTTCTACCTGCTCACCCCCCTCTACCTGCTCACCCCCTCTACCTGCTCACCCTGCTCACCCCCTCTACCTGCTCACCCCCTCTACCTGCTCACCCTGCTCACCCCCCTCTACCTGCTCAACCCCTCTACCTGCTCACCCTGCTCACCCCCCTCTACCTGCTCACCCCCCTCTACCTGCTCACCCTCCTCACCCTGCTCATGACAGGGCATTCATGCACCAGGGAGAAAAATGAGGCCCCTGAAGCCAGAGCCTCATGCCCCTGACACCTCCACCCCCCCCAACACCCACACAAGTGCCCAGACCTGTATCTGCTTCCTGGTAGCTTCTGAGTTCATCCCTAATGGCCAAGATCAGTCTTGTTTGGTGACACCAACAAATCAGGCCCTTCCCAGGGGGAGGATGCTCATGGGACCAGGCAAACTTAGAAACCAGTCCACCTGCTGGCCGACAGAGCCACCATGCAGTGTGCAAAGCTGCTCAGGGCAGCAGGAGGCACTTCTGGTGGCTCTCTGTTAGACAAGGAGCAGGCCATCTCCCGATTTAACCCCCCATGACCTTTGAACTTCCCAGGAGGTCAGCAGCACGTCCCCTTCCCCAGCTGTCTCTCTGTCTCTGGCCCAATGGGAGGGAGGGCCCTGGGCCCGTTCCATTTTGCACCCGTATTGATCTGTTGGCAGCAATGGGCTGGATAATTAGCCAGGAATTAGGGTTTCTATTACAGCCAGGAGGCTGCTCCAGCTGATTTATCACCTGAATAATTTACTGTGATTGAAAGGAAATTAAAATGAACTCCATTTGACAACTGTGAGCTTTTATGGGCTTTAGTGAAGGCTCAAAAGCCAGATTAATAGCCTTGTGTTGGTTAATAGTCTGCTGAGGGTAAATACAGCAGGCTGCAATCGGCTGCGTCCTCTCGGTGGCCGGAGGAGGGACCCACTCTGCCAGAGCCAGTGCCCACCACAGTGACAGCCAGCATCAACTCGAGGTTTACCGAAACAGATTCCACTGTTGGACACACGTGTGCATCCAAGCACACACACACACGCAGGCATGCGTGCACGCGCGCACACGCACGCACACACACACACACCAGCAGTTCCCCCCACACACACACTCCCTTCTGTTCCTCTGAGGTGATTTTTACTCACTCCCCATGTAGGGAAAACAGAATTGCTTTTTCAATAGCCATTCTGAGGAGGAAGTGTTTCATCGTCCCAGAGTGGGTCTTGTTAACATCTTCCACCAAGGCAAAGGGGATTCTGAGCTTTCTTATGAAAAGGGAAGGGTCCGGGCTGGCCACCCACTCAGGGCAGAACTTAGCAGTGACCTCAGGACCACCCTGACATTAAGTTGGTGGTGTTTGTCCCAGGAATGGGGTGAGTGACCTGTCCAAACCCATGTACGTCCTGGAACAGCCCACAAACTGTCTGAGGAAGGCCAGGCAGAACACTAGCCAGTCCAAAGACTAATCCCAGAACCCTCCAGGAACACAAAGACCCATGACACTATCTTGTACAACATGAAGACAGAGATGAGCCTGAGGTCAGACTCCAGCTCTGTGGCCTCAACAATCCTGGGCCTGAAAATGGGTATGCAGTCTGTCATAAATCCATAACAGGGCCTCACAGGCATTAGCCAGTCGCTTAGAGGACATTTAAAGGGACCGTCCAATGTGGGCTGCATTAAGTCCTTGGAAGGCTGAATGCTACCATGGACAGGTAACTAACCTCTGCCCTTACGGTTAGCTGGCTGCACCTGCAATCATCGATTGTGATTATACCAAAATAGGAAACTGGGGTCCAGAAAAAAGTGAGGAGTTGGCAGATCAGAGGCCCTCAGCTCCTCCTCGGTTGGGAGACGCTCTTCATTTCCCCCACTAGACCATCCAGTGACAGCAACAACAAGCCCTGGGCCTGGTCACCAGAGTCTCAGGCCGCTTGACACACTGGCAAACGGGTGAGATGTCTGGCCAGTCTCCACAGCCAGCAGCTCAGGGCCACTTCTTTGTGTCACTACCATCACTCTGGGGTCGCAGGGGTCACAGGCAGGGCCCGAGAACAGTCAGGCAAAGACAGTGAGCAGGAAGGGACGCAGGAACTCATACCCTTAATGCACACGCCTTCCCCAGCCGCGGCCCCCGGTTCAAGCCATCATTTGTCCGTGGTGATTGCGAACAGGGCACGAGGGTATGTCATTCATAGTCCAGTGCCTGCATGTGTGCAGGGCAGTCTTACAGCCTCACCCCATCTCTCCTCATTACGGCATGCCTCACAGAGGTGAAGCAGAGTAACCAGGAAACACTGAGTCAGTCATTATCCTGCCGGCGGTTTGCCTGGCTAGACCTGCCTCAACTCACAGACAGGCCTGCACCAGGCCGCAGCGTGCGTTCTGAAGGACACCAAAGGAACACATCTTCCCAGAGCCCACAGCCCGGGCCTCCTCTCTAGTGAGCCTCATCTTCACCTGAACCCGGATGGCCTCCCTCGGCCTTGGGATCCCGTGCAACATTCTCTCCCCAGTATGGCTGCCCTCAGTGCAACCATCGAGCTCATGGCCCGGCCCCCTTCAGCACACATCATCCATCATATGTGTGGTTCCTGAGTTCACGTCACACCAATCTATGAAAGAATTGGCAAAGATGATGCCTGGTTTGTGCCTCTGTCCCCTCCGGGCCTGGCTCTGCACTGGGCCCATTGCCCATGTGCAGGAAATGTGTTGGACCAGCGAGCCCCTGAGTGAGTGAGGAGCTGGAAAGCTCTGGGATGCCTCCCAGTGAATGTCTGGCCTTGGCCCATCTTCCCAGGCGTTTAAATGGAGAAAGTGGAACACCGCTTCAGGGGTTTGTGCGAGATTCCCATGAAACCAGAGGGATTCACAACACTCAGCGTCTGTGTTTCATTCATACTGACGTAGTGGAGATGCTGGCATCCTTGAAAGCCTCACACCCTCACCCTTGGTCACTTATTTGCACCTCACAGAGCTCGGGGGACATGTGGCTTGTACCGTCTCTCAGAAAGACTCAGCACCTGTCTGTGATAGAAGCAGACTTTTCTCCCCAAAACCCAGGCTCTAGAATGGGATCGGCTTGGCCCAGTGCCCATGGCCGTGTGCCCGGCAGAGAAGACGCCATTTAACTTGTAAGAGAATGAGCAGCGCCCTCCCACAGTCCACTTGTGGACTCACCTCTCCAGCATCACCTCCACCCCGCCCCTGAATCCCGGCCACACTGGATTCCCACTCCTGCTCACGCCGTGTGACCACAGGGCCTTTGCACTAGCCAACCCCTGCCGGACACATCCCTCCGCATGCACATCCTTTACTGTTGTTCACCATGGCGGCCTCCAGGCTGGCTCAGTCTCTGCTTCGGGTTCTCAGAGGGCCTTAGACATCTCTCCAAGCTGTGATTCTTCTACAAATCCCTAGGTTTGGGGCAAGTCCAAGCTCGTCTGCTCACTGATGAGCACACAGTGTCTGGTACCTTGCCTTACCCACGCTAGACAATTGCCAGTACTTGCTACGTGAATACTTGTTGGGCAGCCTTAGGCAAGTTGCTTTGTCTGTATGGGCCTCAGTTTCCCTATCTGAAAGCAAACTGGCTGAATGGTCTGTAAAAGGTCCCATAGGATCAGCTCAGAGAGAGCCGTGAAAGGAAGGCTGGTGTCTGACTTACCCGTCAGAGCTGACCCCATGCCTGGGCTATTCACACCCGTGAGCAGTCCCACAATGCCAAGCATAGGTCAAGCATCATGAGATATCCTGTACTCCACGGCTGCGAGCCCAAGTATTTTTATATATTTAGATCTACATGCTTAGATCATATTCCTAACTGACAGGATGACAAAATCACAGGAAGTAACCCTGGAGATCATCACGAACCAAAAGACACAGCATCCATTAGCAGCAGAGTAACCAGAGGAGCCCCGTTCCTCTGGGGCTGGCCAGAGACGGAGCTACCAGGACAAGAAGCCTCAGAGACCCGCCTCGTGGGATGTTGTGACCAGCCAAGCTTGGCCAAAAATGGCCAGAAGCCCACTCTGCAAAGACCCCTGCCCTCACTGTGCCAGACGTCCCTGCTTCCAGGATGGCTCAGGCCTGCACAGTGGCGCCGGTGCGGTGGGCCAGAGTCACGGACATACCTGCTCTGGCTTGATGGGCTCCGTGGTGGTGAAGATGTCTGAGTAGTGTTGTCTCTCAAACACACGGTCCAGCACCTCCAGCTGCTGCTGCGTGAACAGATCTCCCCGCATCTGCTTCCGCAGGAAGTCTCTGCCGGGAAGTGAGTGGCCGTTTGGCACTGGAGACTCCTGGATACCTTTGATGAGCATGAGAGAGATAGGGTAAGTGGAGGCCACTCTGCCACTAACTGAGGAAAGGGAAGGGGGCCTGACTGACCCTCCCGCCCAATTCCCTGCCCATGACAGGGATTCGGGTAAGGATCTGCCTGGACAAGATCACCTGCTGTTGACCGCTGACCCAGCCTCTCATAGTCACAAGCCAGGCACTGTGCAAAGCCTGTTTGTTACACGTTTTCTCCTTTACTTTCCACGCTGACCCCAATATATGTGCTGGGGTTTGCATTTGCGCCCCTAGCGCTAATGTCTTGGAAGTTCCACAGTGATTGGTTAAAGGGGGCGGGGCCTTAAAGAGTGGGAGGAGTCACAAGATCACTCCCTTCTCCATGGCTTCCTGTCTAGTGGTGCCTATTCCTCCCTCCTTTTCCTCCTCCGCTTCTCAGTTCTTTTCTCTTTCACACAAGCGTGCACACACACACACACACACACACACACACACACACACACACACACTAGTCTTTGCCAAGGCTGAGCAAGCACCACAGATTTGAACTTCCAGAACCATGAGCTCCTCCTTTATAAAGTTACCTGCCCTGAGGAATTTCATTACAGAAACAAAAAAAAAAGGAACTAACTCAGGATATTACTGTTTTCTCCGTTTCGCAGATGAAATTCCAGGCCTAGAAAAATGACACAGTTTCTTTGCCTGAGGATTTGAGCTCAGAGTGACGCTAGGACTTAGTCACGGGTGTTATCGCCCCTTCTGTACCTGTCCTGCTGATGTCCTCACCACACACACTTGTCACCACCATCATGTCCAGTCTGCAACACACGGATCCGTCACACACCTGTGATAGGTGACAACCTAGCACTGTCCCTGAGAGCCTGCATCCTGGGAATATACTTATTTATGGAAAGTGAAAGATGCCAAGGTTCTTGGAATCAACCAAAGTTCATGCATAGAGAACTGCTGCTAAACAGACTGTGGTATTGCTTGGGGGTGGAAAGCCACGCAGCAGTGAGGAGGAAGAAAACCAAGGAGCAGGGACCACCAGGGCGGGGCTGTGTGAGGGATGGGCAGGGACCACCAGGGCGGGGCTGTGTGAGGGATGGGCAGGGACCACCAGGGTCCGGGGCTGTGTGAGGGATGGGCAGGGACCACCAGGGCGGGGCTGTGTGAGGGATGGGCAGGGACCACCAGGGTCCATGGCTGTGTGAGGGATGGGCAGGGACCACCAGGGCGGGGCTGTGTGAGGGATGGGCAGGGACCACCAGGATCCGGGGCTGTGTGAGGGATGGGCAGGGACCACCAGGGTCCATGGCTGTGTGAGGGATGGGCAGGGACCACCAGGGCGGGGCTGTGTGAGGGATGGGCAGGGACCACCAGGATCCGGGGCTGTGTGAGGGATGGGCAGGGACCACCAGGGCGGGGCTGTGTGAGGGATGGGCAGGGACCACCAGGGTCCGGGGCTGTGTGAGGGATGGGCAGGGACCACCAGGGCGGGGCTGTGTGAGGGATGGGCAGGGACCACCAGGGTCCATGGCTGTGTGAGGGATGGGCAGGGACCACCAGGGCGGGGCTGTGTGAGGGATGGGCAGGGACCACCAGGATCCGGGGCTGTGTGAGGGATGGGCAGGGACCACCAGGGTCCATGGCTGTGTGAGGGATGGGCAGGGACCACCAGGGCGGGGCTGTGTGAGGGATGGGCAGGGACCACCAGGATCCGGGGCTGTGTGAGGGATGGGCAGGGACCACCAGGGCGGGGCTGTGTGAGGGATGGGCAAGGTCATGATCCTGGTGTCCACGGTGTAGGAAAGATGGCCCGATGTGTTCTTGCAAATGTTCAGATGTATGAGTACTGTGTAAAGTCTTATTTTCTAGCATAAAACACAGTAGAAATAGTGCATATACTACGCGCGATTTGAGCGGTACGTGGGAAACAGCTGCCTTTTGTTTCAGAACTTGAAAGCATTGTGGATTCCAAAGTGTAAGTTAAGAGAGTATTCTGCTGTGTTAGCTGCCCACCGAGTCTGTCTCTGGGGATGATGTTTATATTTCAAAGAAAGCACAATGAGTTATTAATTTGAAAAATGGGGTTGAACTGTCTTTTGTGTGCTTTGGATTTGACCTGTTCAAGATGAAAGCAAGCATGAGAAAGAGGGTCCCTGTAAGGAAATGGCCTGAAGGGCTCATCATGGCCCTGGGGTCTCTAGCACAAGTTGTCCCTGAAGGCTGATGGGAGGCTGTAGAAATTAGACCCAGGTGGGACTTCCGCTTGGACTGTGGAATCCATGTGAGTACCACCAACGGTCAGCTCTCCTATTGAGAGGCACCACATACCTCAGGCCTCATCCAGCCTCTGCCCTAGATGTCACTGTCATGACAAAACCCCACCCATGTGAGGAATGAGCCAAACCAAGGCGCCTGAAGTGGAGGGATGCTGTATCCCTGGGCCTCAGGCAGAAGATTTGTTCTAGCTGTTCTGTCTGCGGAGCCTGGGCCCTGGGCCTCAGGCAGAAGACAGTGTTCCAGCTGTTCTGTCTGCAGAGCCTGGGTTTGAACAGACACCAACTTTGGGGATTCACCTGAGTGCTGGCCTTTCAGGATATTTAAGAGAGCTAACAGGCCCAAAATACCCCACATGTTCTACAGGAAAGGCCTTTTGGGATGGCTTACAAGCTGCCTGAGAAAACAGATCCCTCATCACTTTCAAACCAAGGCTGGTCCACAGACTAAAAGACCACAGCCTAAAGTAGAAGCTGGTCCCTCTCAACAACGCTCCCAGCATAAAACCTGAGTCCCTCTTTTGGCAGTGACACTGGCTTTTCACAACCCAGGTGCCTGCTCTTGCCCTCAGGATGTCATCCTTGTGGCCCCTTCTTCCATCATGGCCCTTGGAGATGGTTCCTACAAGGTCACCAAGAATAACAGATGGGGGCTTACTGCCCGGTCATGCTCTTGTGCTGGTCAGCACCCACCAGAGAGCCTTATTATCAAAGGTCCAATGTACCTAGGTGCACATGTGTACATGCACACATATGAACACACACACACACACACACACACACACACACACGCAGGCAGTACTCAGCTTGCTCCTACTCAGAAACTGCTCTGTCCAGTCATCCTGTCCCAGCTACTCCGGCCACAGTGACTTTGCACTCCAGAGCACCCATCAAGTTTCTTGCTGCCATGGAGATCATATCAATTTCTGCCTCCTCGCTTCAGCTAAACTCTCCAGCCTGTGCTGCCTCCCAGGAAGCCAGCAAATTCCAGATGAAAGCAATTCCCGCTAAGATTGCTACTCTCTTTCCCACTGGTTGTTTCCCGAGATGGCCCAACTTTGCCTTGCCCAGAGGCTTCCCAGACAACTGGATCCTCTCAGCTGAGAGTCCTGCAAGGGCAGAGCTCCTGAGGAAGCCCAGGGAGGGTGGCTTAACTCTGGATTCCTGTGGACAAGGTCACTGGTCACCAAATAGGCCTAGCATAGAGTGAAGGCTCAGGGCATGGAACCAACTCAAGTTATGTAGGATGGATCTTTGGTCCCCCTAAGAACACTGTGGGCATTGCAAGTTCAGGCTGGGACTGGTACCCACTTCTGCAGAGAAGAGGACCAGCCTCATCCAGCTGTGACTTTCTCTACATCAGTAGTGGCCCCCATGGGCTGCACTCAGGGGAACTCAGGCTGCCTTGATGACCAAGATGCTGGCAGCTTGTCCCCTGCAAGCACCTCCATCCACACGCCTGCTTGAGTGGGAGCAGAACTAAGTGACAATTCCTTAAGAGGTCACAGATTACTGGGTGTGGTGCACATGACTATGATACTAGAATTTGGGAGACTGAGGCAGGGGATCCAGAGTTCCATGGCAGTCTGTCAAAAGACCCTCTGTCAAGAAAAACAAACAAAAAGAAAAACAAATGACAAACAACAAGAAGACTTAGGACACTCCAAAATACATAATTATACATTCAACTTAGTAAATATTTAAAAAGTTACTCTGTACCAGGTAATATTAAAAACCTCAGGTGATTTTAGTTAGGTGTGTATATATGTTGTGCATGGGGGGTTATGTGTTCACAGATGTGGGTTTCCCCAGTGGCCAGAGGCCTTGGACCCCTCAGAGCTGTGGTTACGGGCAGTTGTGAGCCCCTGGATTTGAGCTCTGGGAATGAGCCTGGGTCCTCTACAAGAACAATATGTACTCTTAGCCACTGAGCCATCTCTCCAGCTGCCAAAATTAAATTTTTAAAAAGCAGACAAGAAACGAGGGTGCAGAGGCGAGGGATATGGCAGCCCACTTCAGTGAAGCAATCAAACAAATAAACACCTGACTACAAACTGACTGACAGGATGTATAAAACAATTCCCAGAAATATCCACATGCAACCATGTAAAGCTAGAGGGAATGCTCCAGCCCGGGGGAGTTGGGAAGAGCTTCCAAGGGGAAGCTGTGTTTGAACCCTGAGTGCAGCCCACAGGGGCCACTACTGATATAGAGAAAGTCACAGCTGGATGAGGCTGGTCCTCTTCTCTGCAGAAGTGGGTACCAGTCCCAGCCTGGACCTGCAATGCCCACAGTGTTCTCAGGGGGACCAAAGAACCATCCTATATAACTTGAGTTGGTTCCATGCCCTGAGCCTTCACTCTATGCTAAGCCCTACTTGGTGACCAGGAGGAACAGATGAAACCCCAGGAAGCTATAGAGAGACTCAGAGGCCACTTGAGTCTTGCTGAAGGAGCCCTGAGCAGATGTGAGCAGCTGGGGAAACAATTACCCACTTCATTTCTCAATCCTAGTCCCTGTTTCCTAAACTCTGCTCCCAACTGCATCGTTGGAGAGCAGGGGCCAGTCAAGACAGTGTGTGCTAGCAGCCTGTTAGCCACAGGTTACCCAATCAAGCCAGAGTAACACAAACTACACTTCTCATTGGCCAGTGCCCCGTTCTCCAGGACAGACACAGCCTGCAAGTGCACACACCTCCTCCTCCAGGGTACTTTCCATCCCGCCCCAGCTCCCA